CTCTCTCTCTCTCTCTCTCTCTCTCTCCTCTCTCTAAAGCAGTATGGAGAGCATAAGAAGACGAGAGAAAGGCATTCATCATTAAGAATAGGGTTGCAGGTGAAGGGCTATGTTGCTCAGAACTAGAGAGAGAGAGAGAGAGGGCATATGAAGAGAGAATGGGAGATTGAGGAGAGCCAAACCCAACCGGTGTTGGTTGTAAATTTAGAATTAAGAGGGGGTGGGATGCATAATCCTTTGCTTAATTTTTTATCATTTCAGTACAGGCTTTAATTAATTTATTAACAAATTAATTGTTAATAGTTTAGGAAGATTAATTGTAAGTGGTTGTCGTTATCAGTAGAGTAGAATATTGCAGACCTTAATTATGCGAAAGCTTTATTGAATTTAAGTTTAAGATTATGAGAGATATTATCGTTAATAGTTCAATTTTATTTTTATGCAAAAAAAAAAAAATTTTTATTATTATTATTACGCTTTCATGCACGAGAATCTATCACATCAACCATGCAGTGTCCGCAAATGTAAGCTTTTTTAACACTATCAAACGTTCATATTCAATATTAATATGAAATTTATAATTAGGATTATCTATTAAAAATCTTATTAATTTAATAATTATAGTAAATGTTAAAGAGGACGGGACCTTAAAGCCACGAATCACACAAATACACGGGCTAATCAGATCGTCGACTGAAGTGCTTAGCATCGTAGAGTAGCTATAGCCTAAACTGAATCTGTATGTATTACTTAAGACATTGGGCGCATATTCATCATTTATGAATTTAAATTAATGAATTATAAACTTATTATTATTAAAATTTTTAAAATTTAATCTTAATTATTCTTAAAGTTTGTTAATCTTATACTAATGGTTTTTAACAGCATTGTTAATTTTAAGCTCCTATTTCTCAACTCTATTAATATTATACATTGTCTCTTTAATTAAAATATTTATCTTCTTTTATAACTCTTTTTTTAGTGAATTTTTTGCCCCTTTAATGAATAAGATTTAACAAGAAGTAACTAACTATTATAAGAAAATGTATTTTATTTAAAATAAAGCCTCTTATGTATTTCAATAAATAAATCAGGTTCTTTTTGTTATGATTTAATTTTTCAATTTTTACAATCTATAATATTTTTTTATAGGTTATTAATTAAAAAAAAGAAAAAAAAATGAAAATTTGTTCATCAAAATAACTCTATATTTTCTTTATCCATCACAAATCATAGGCATTAATTAGAAAAGTTAAAACCAATCTCAGCCGCATCATATTCATGGTGGCATAGAAAGCTTATGTTAAGGAGAAGAAGGCCTATAAATTTCCACCATCGCCGCACCTCCTCCCCCCATCTATTTACTCAGCTTTTCCCCCTTCTTCTCCCTCTTTTCTTAGATTAGGTTACTTGGCCTCTCTTTCTATCTCTATCTCTTCCCCCGAAAGTAGAGAAGAGGTAAGACGGAAGGAGAAAAGAAGAAGAGTAAAGGTATGTGTGGGTACTTCTTCTTGTGCTGGGAAGGAACAGTAGAGAGATAATTGATGGTTTTATTTTGTTGAAGATGTTGGAGGGATGTCAAGGGAGCAAAGATTATATTGTGCCTGGCTCCCTGTATGCCACACATATGGTTCACTCTACTCAGATTGGCTACTCTGGGTGGCGTGCGTGGAGTCAAGCACGATTCTCTCTCTCTCTCCCTCTCTCTCTCCCTCTCTCTCTCTCTCTTTCTCGCTCTCTTTCTCTCTCTGCCTCCCTCCCTTTCAGTGTTTCTTTCGGTTTTGTTTAAGTTTGTGATCATAGCACTTTATATTTAGAGATAATCAGCTAACCACTTTATATTTATTTTTTTTTCAAAATAATGATTAATTTTTTTATTACATCTTAGCATCGTTTTTCATGTGATATGGTGATGTACAGGATAATATCTGTCTAATTCCTAGCTGTTTCCTTAATGGACAGTGAAAGGTTTGATCAATATATGATCTGATGAAGAAAAAATAGTGATGTGAGGTTTATTGGTCGTGTTTGGCTTCATGTATGTCTCACTAAAGATTTTTCGCTAACTAGATTATCTACTGTAAGTAGAGTACGAGGAGTCTAGCTATACCTTACTCTTCCTGCTCCATTCTTCTATTCTTTTTCTTCTTCTCCAGTGTGATAAAGTAGCTTGTAATTCATCTTGTTATGTTCGAAGTTTGCTTATATATGTGCTTGTTTTGCGTTAGTATAACTATGCTCTTTTCTCATATACATGATTCTATGGACTTTGTCTTTGCAGAAAGTTTTGAGAACTTTGGAATCCAACATTAAGAAGCTATTTCTCTTGGGTTTATGGTGGTGCTTTTTGTGTTGGTTTCTTAGATTATGAACTTCATTGCATGCAAGTTGAGGAAATCTTGTATTTTGCAGGCTATAATTCATATTAGTCTAAATGTCATTAGGTATTATTTTTTGCAATATTCAAAAAATGTGAAAGAATTTATGCACTGTTTTTTACATTATACCATGGTGGATATTGCCATATTTCAATTAAAACCAATCTTGTAGTTATTTCAAATCAACATAAGATGTAAAATGATTTTTTTTTTTTTATGCCTTCATCTTTACCAATTCGTTTGTCTATTGGTCATGATCATATGTGTAAATTATCTGTAGCTACGGCCTATGTATTCTATAGTCATGCGTCTATTTCTATGAAAGGCTGTTGAGATGAAAGAGATGAAAGAGATGAAAGATTATATTGGGAAAATTTGAACAGCTCTTTTTTTCAAAGATTCTCTATAATTGGTTCTGCCAGTTTATATAAATTTCATATATTGTTTAGATCTTTATGCTTGGCAATACTCATTTATTCTTCTCTCTCTATTTTGCACTCTAAAATGATTTCAAGCAATATAGAATTTTTCTTTTTTTTTTGGATATATCAGGGATTATCTTCCCATGTATGCAATTATGACTAAGTAAATCTTTTGGTTCAATTGTTTAAGATGATGAAGAAACTAACTATATTAAGATTGATCTTAAATTTTTAATTGGGGAGAATTGATTTTGATTTGCTAAAGCTTGTTGATTAAATGTAACTTTTTCATTGGAACTGTGTTGGGAAAATTTTATCAGAGGTAGCAGTATATGATGACAGTTTTCAAGCTACAATTAATCTTTGTCTGTAATTGCTATTAGTGCTATTACTGCTTGCAATGAAATTGAGATTCTTTTAAAATTGTTCCAGAAAGTTAATAGATTATAATGTAAACTGTAAAAAATATAGCGAAAGATTGCTTGTTTTTTATCTAGTAGATCAAATGGTGAAATCTCAAATTCATGGAAAACTGCTTATAAATCTAAAATAACAGCATCTTGGATTTATTGCCAAATGCATTAAGTTACTTAATAGTATGTCGATGAGAAAGGTTTACTAATTAAGTTTTGAAAAATACAGCTTAATTTAATAAAGCAGCAGCTACATTGATATTTCAAAACGTTATGAATGTTTTCACTTGAATCCAATGGCCAAAATCAAGTTTTTGGAAGTAATGAAGCTTTGAAGTAATCTTGTTATATTGCAAGCTCCTATGAAATTGGATTTTTTTTTTAATTTTTCAATTTTTTCTTATGTGTAATCGTGCGCTATTTCAATGAATTTGGATTAGTACCATATTGCCTCAAATCTGAAAGTATACTAAGTTAAATTCCCGAAAAAGAACCAATTCTGTGATTATGTTCCGCAGGATAAGGTGCATGTTATATACAAACAAGAGCCAAGAATATGACTGAAGATTGGATGAACCATGCACTATGTTTTTGATCAAGTTACTGAGACAAAACTTGTTTTTTTTAAGATTTTATTTAACTTTTCTATAATTTTAATTGATCAAGTTACTGAGACAAAACTTGCGTTTACTCTTGTCATTATTAGTTTTGTCTGAAACTTTGTCGAGTATTGCGTTAACATAATTTTTAGATTTAAAATGTTGTAGACAATTATGGGTATAGGATTGAAAGGGGAAGACCTCCCATATGCAACAATCAATATTTATGCCTTTGGGAGAAGTTTTTCCATTGTTTCATGAACTCCCTTTTCATCTGTGTGATTTTGAGTTGATAACAAAATGGTATTAGAGAAAAGTTGGTTCAGTGGTAGTTTCATCAAGTTCAAAGCAGGACAAAATGCAAGTAGCTGGACAACTACAAGTAAAAATCGATCTTGTGAAAAGGGATGTGGTGGCAGCATTACAAGCACATCATACACGGATTAGTGGAAATAGTTTTGGAGGAAATCCAAATAGAGTTGATGTCATGCATGAGTATCAACATTTATCTTAGGCTGATCGAAGACTCTGAAGTCTGCTCCTCGGTCCTCGACTGATCAAGTTGGCCTCCGCACCTTTTTATGTAATAGCCATTCTGTGTCTGTTGTGCCCCTAAGGGTATTTACAATTTTGCCATCACTTGGCTATATATATTCATTGTAACAGTGATGAACATATGGTGAAATAATTTATTTTCTTCCTCGGTTATTCCTCTTGCTTCCTTTATGGTATCAAAGCAGGAGGCCTTTTTCACCTCAAGATCCATGGACTATTCCTCTACTAACCACCACCCCACTCAATCCTACCAAAAAACCATAAAGTTGTGTTGCTAATACTCCTGTACAGGT